CCCCAAAACCCCAAAACCCCAAAACCCCATGATTTCAAAATGAGTTTTAATCAAGTGAAATTTAAAATTGATTAAATACCAATTTATTAAGAATTAAAAATATTCCATTCTGCTTCAATTTGATCACTACTCCTCGGTCGGTAATTCAAATCTACACACTGGGCAAGTGTTATGCTCCTTTAGCCATGGGTTCAAACAGTCTGGGTGATAGATGTGTCCACAAGGCATAAACATGCCTTTTAAGCCAACATTGATAGTTTCACAGCAGACTGTGCAAGTAGGTGCCTCTAAAGCTCCACCAGCTCCTTTTTTGCAATGCTTATTTTCTATTTTAACAACTGGCAACTTTTATACGCTCTCTTATTTAGCTCTTCGCCTCTTTGCTTATTCAGCAGCTTCTCTTTCACTCATCCTACGAGCCATCTCCATGAAATCACCTTCTGAGAAAAAGTTACTATTATAATTTGACATGAATTAATCTGGCGAGAATCCCTAGAACAATGAGTTCATCCTTAAGAACTGATGACCAGAAAAGATATCTTAGAAATTTCTTAGTATGTTATTTAGCATGTTCTCGATTCCACCCATGTCAGGTATATTGGCTTATCCAGGTTATTCAGGTCCATTTCTTCTTTAGAAAAACATTTAAGGATTAAAGCCAGCTCCTCCACTAGATCCGAAATTTATATTGGTAGTGGTTGACCCTGAAGCTCCATCCACAGGTAAGCCGAAGTGTATCAGATGGACTAAATTACCGTTGTCAGTTCTATATGTAGTTGATCTAGCTCTCAAACCTCCAGGCAAATTAATGTTTGCTGAGCCTGTTTATTGGTGAGGATTTTATCTTTGACCCTGAGATTGCATTCTAGGTTCTCTTTATTATTACTATTATTGTTACTACGGCTGTTGATAAGGCCCAGAACTACTATTGTTAGATTATTAAGTTGGATTTGGATTTGGAATTTATTAGGATTATCTTTAATTAAATGGATATGTTGAGCTAAATGGAGAGGATCCGTATTCATTGGATGAAGGTTATTACGTATTTTACTATGGTCTAATATTTTCACCCCTTTCCTATCCTCTGGAGATATTTTATCTTTAAAACATGCCACTTGGTGGCCTGCCATTTTATTATGAGGGTTAACTTGCTCTCTAGCCAATTCTTGAGTCAATCCTTGGAAGATTTTAAGAATTAGTTGCTGTCTATGAGAACATTTGAGGTCCAGTTCCCCCTGCTCTGTTTTGATTATTCAAGCTTGCATTCATACCAGATGGCGGTCTCATTCTAGAATTAATATTTCTATTTTCATTCGCTTAATTTGCGCTGTTATAGTTAGAGTCTAGCTTTGTAGTTTTGCTAGGACCTGGAGTCCTAAAAACACCAGGTTAATTCGTATTCATAGTTGGGCCGAACCCATTAGTTCTTCCAGGAACGAATCCTGCATCACCATGTACATTATCTATACTTCTATCTCTAATATTCGTTCTATTGTGGAAAGTTGGCTAATTCTCATTATTGAAGACAATTCTATAAGCCCCATCAACTAGATGAGTTCCGGTACGTCTCATTGGATCCTAAGTAGGTTATTGAGTCTCTGTAACTTTTGACTCTTCATTTGTCTTTTTGCCACAATTCTAACCTGTATAATGGTTATTAATCTGATAATAAATGTTTAGTTAAAATTGTTTCATTAATCATCATCTTCTTACAATCAACATTTAGTTGCTCGTCTGATATTAAAGCAGAAAATGTTTATTTGCAGTTTAAACATTTAAACTTTTTAGATTTTAATCGATAAGACATATCTCAATAGCTTTTTGATCTTTGAAATTGTTAGCAGATGATAAATTACAAGAAAATATAAATGAGAGTGAGATGCAATTATTTTGACTTATTACTTTAAATATTATAATAATTTATAAGTATTAAAATGAGTAGAAGCAATTTACAAAAGTTATCAACAACTAATTCCAAGGCTTTGCATAATTAAACCCAAGAAATCAACTAGCTCCCAAAGCTTGATAGCAGCTATTCTAATATCCCACTCTCTCATCATGGCTCTAACTTGCCTATGAAAAGGGATGGTTCAAATCAATCTAGGATGTAAAATAACCATTATATCACAAAATTATTGACTTTAGGACAGCAGGTTCTGATTAAAATAAACTTGGGACAAATAACTAAAACGGCAACAATAATAATGGAAATAATATGTATCAGAATTAAAATATGATAAAATAGGAAAATAAATACATAGTAGACAACCTTGGCATGCTCCAGAAGAGTTCACTCGAATCTCAGAATGATTTCAGTGTGACCCACAAATAGAGTATGTTTAACAGAGCTAAATCGCAAAATAAAGCAAAATGAACAATAAAAAATCTCCTTAATGGAAATGTTGGTTCCACATAGAATTAAAATAACTCATAAAAAATCACTCTATTTTTCAGGGCTTAAAAATGAGACTATAGAAGACCCCCTCATTTCAACTAGTAATCCTTTGAAAAGATTAAGGACTTTTAACCCGAACACCGGGAAATATTTGACAAGCTAATTTAAAAGCAGCTTGATCTTGAAAAAAATCTGAACAGTTTAAAGCAGGAATAAAATATATACTAACGTTATAAACTAACTATCTTAAAAGAGAACATTGAGCTAGTTTAAAGAGCCAAGATTAAAGAGGATAAAATTAGAGCTAAAGTTATTAATAGCAGATCTTCTTCAAAATAAGCTACTGCAAGATATGGATAAAGTTTAAGTGGGAATCGCTCTGCTGCGCTGAGTGACAGGAGTTTCACAAATTAATCGCCGAACTTATAAATGGCTTACAAACCCACTAGGGTTTTTGAGAGAGTAATGAAGCAGTATAAATTAGATGAGAATCTAATTAGCCTAAATGATCATAGCAATTTTCACAGTGAATTTGTGGCATAACCAGAAAGAAGCTTTAGTGTAATGAATGATTCTAGTCAAATTTAAAAGGGAAAGATAAGTTTTATTAATAATCCTAAGGTTAGTGGTGCAAGTACTTTTTATTCTAGTAGAAAGCAAAATCAGATCAATTTAAGCAATCCTTATAATGAATACTTAACCTAGGATAACAGAACAAAACATAACAGCAATTTTTCAAACAGTAAGAGTCCATTTAATAGCAACTTTGATAAAAAATACACTTCTCAAACAACTAGGGGAACAGCAAACTAAAACTCTCAAGTAACTATTACAAAGGATGAGAGCATTTTATTTACCTCCTCTCCACCCAACTAAATCTTCTTAAACTCTCAAACATCTAAGCATAGAAACTAAAAGAGCTTCAGACCGTCAACCAATGAAATCAGGGAAAGTTAAAGAGATTCGTTCAGTAAATCATTTTATAATCTCGAGAATAACTATAAAAAGAATCTTAGTATGCTTATAGATTCTTATAGAAAATCAGTTATAAAGAATCATACTCCTACAAAACAAACTTAGTATAATTTGAAGCCTAACAGATAAAATTTTGACCTTTAGTAATCAGTTCTCAAATCTAGCAAAGCTAACCATTTCCTAACCAATTTGCAGCAAATGGAAAGATCCAAATAATAGCAGTAGGATTAGCCCTTGATTTAATTATACCAGAAGAAGTCTTAATCTTTTATAGGTAGTAAAATAAGGCCTGTAAGTATTCCCAGAGGAGCATAGTACTACTTAAAAGGTCTTAAGTTCAATATGATATGAATTTTGATTTTATGCATATATTTTTTACTTTTGCTATTAAAAGAATATCAATAGATGGGGTTTTGGGGTTTTGGGGTTTTGGGG